AAGGAAATGAAATGCCAGGATCGGCATAATAAGAAGGTAAAAAAAGAAAAAGGGGAAAGGCGAAGAAGTGGTTGAGAAAACGGATGAGAGGGAGAGGAGGAGGAGGAGGAGAGAGAGAATCCAGTACTGGAGTAAGAGGAGGAGGAGGAGGAGGAGGAGGAGGAGGAGAGAGAGAATCCAGTACTGTAGTAAGAGGAGGATGATTAGGATTAGGAGGAGGAGGAGGAGGAGGAGAGAGGATTTGCTAGAAGAGGAGGAGCAGGAGCAGCAGAAGTAGAAGAAGAAAATATGGTCCGCTGAAAAAGATGTTATAATCTTGTTGGTTGATCGATTGTTTTGATTTGATTGATTGATTGATTGATTGATTGGTTGATGGATGGATGGATGGATGGATTGGAAGAGTGATTGCAGGGATTGATTTGGGTTGATCGGTGATGCAAGAGGGCGATGAAGCTGTTTCCGCACTTGATTGATTGATTGATTGATTGTTCTAGTTTGATTGTACTGATTTGATTGATTGATTGATTGTTATAGTTTGTCTGATTGATTGATTGTTCTAGTTTGACTGATTGATTGATTGATTGTTCTAGTTTGATTGATAGATTGATTGATTGATTGATTGATTGTTCTAGTTTGATTGNGATTGATTGTTCTAGTTTGACTGATTGATTGATTGATTGTTCTAGTTTGATTGATAGATTGATTGATTGATTGATTGATTGTTCTAGTTTGATTGATGGATTGATTGATTGACTGATTGACTGATTGACTGATTGTTTGATTGACTGATTGATTGATTGATTGCAGGAGTGATTTCATTGATTGATTGTTCTAATCTCGTTGATAGATTGTTCTGATCGCCTGAGAGATTAGATTTGGGTTGATCGGCGATGCAAGAGGCCGATGAAGCTGTTTCCGCACTTGTGATTAATTGATTGATTGTTCTAGTTTGATTGTACTGATTTGATTGTTTGATTGATTGATTGATTGATTGACTGATTGGCTGATTGATTGACTGATTGATTGATTGATTGATTGTTCTAGTTTGATTGATTGACTGATTGACTGATTGACTGATTGGCTGATTGGCTGATTGATTGACTGATTGATTGATTGATTGTTCTAGTTTGATTGATTGATTGATTGATTGATTGATTGATTGACTGTTTTAGTTTGATTGATGGATTGATTGATTGATCGACTGATTGATTGATGGATCGAATTTGAGTGATTGATTGATCTTATACTGAATGATTGGTACTTCTGATTCTTTGCTTGCTTGCTTGCTTGCTTGTTCTGATGTATTTGTTTGATTGCTTGTTCTGATTACCTGATTGATTGATTTGGTTGATTGGCATTGAGTAGGAGAGCAATGAAGCTGCTGCTGCAGTTGAAGGCGAGCTAGTGACGGATGAAGAGGTCTTATCTGAGCAACGAGAACCTCAGGAGCAACGACAACAACAACAGGAGGATGAAGAAGAAGTGGGAGACGATCGTCCACGTGTCTACTCGACAGCCTCTCTGCTGGACGCTTATGGAGAGTCCCTTGCGGCAGGTGACCTGGTATCACTCGATCAGATAAAGGGCCAGCTTGCGGCTATGGAGGAGGAGCGTGAGCAGCTCCATGCTCAGGTGACCAGTTTGTCAGAAGAGTTGCAGAACGGGAAAGAGAGGTTCCTTCGTCTAAACGCAGACTTCGACAATTTCAGGAAGAGATCGGAGAGAGAGAAAGCTTCTCTTGGGGACTCTGTCAAGGGTGATCTTATAGAGAGCCTGCTCCCAGTTCTCGATAACTTCGAAAGAGCCAAAGGGCAAATCAAAGCGGAAACGGAGAAAGAAAAATCAATTGATACCAGCTATCAGGGTATATACAGACAGTTTGTCGAGACCTTGAAGAGCGTCGGACTGAGGCCGGTTGAAACAGTCGGTGTCGAATTCAATCCCATGGTGAGTGAATCGCAAAACCCTGATTTCTTTTTACCTCTGTTCTTCAATCTCTCTCTCTCTCTCTCTCTCTCTCTCTTTTTTCTCCAGCTTAGTGTCTCTTACGACCGTTGTGTTACTCGCTGTCTCTCACTCTCCCTCTCTTTTCCCGATTCCTCTCTCTTACCCTATCTTACCCTCTCTCTCTCTCTCTCTCTGTGTTTTTTGCTGTATTTCTCTTCCTCTTTTTGTGGCCGTCTTTCCTTTTCTCTGTCTCTCTCCCTCTCTCCCTTTCTCCTTCTCTCCTCTCTCTCTTTCTCCCCTCTCTGTCTCTCTTTCGCTCCTCTCTTTGTGT